CTGCTGCTGCTGCTCCTACTCCTGCTCCCTGCTCCCTACTACTACTACTACTACTACTACTACTACTACTACCACTACCACTACTTCTACCACTCCTACTACTACTACTACTACGACGACGACGACTACTACTCCTACTCCTATTCCTATTCCTACTCCTACTCCTACTCCTACGACTACGACTACGACTACGACTACGACTACGACTACGACTACTACTACTACTACTACTACTACTACTACTACTTCTACTCCGACGACGACGACGGCAATGACGGCGACCACCACCCCCATCACCACCACCGCCACCACCACCATCACAACTGTAGTGTTGCCACACTGCAACTACAGCAAATGCTGCAGCACTAATAGCACTAGCAATAGCAACAGAGACGCGATGTCAAGCATAGTCACGGTTATAAGGATTAAAAAACAATTACAAACCACAAAGGCAGCAAGACCAAGAGAAGTGCAAAGTAGTGTTACCGTTCGTCTCTTCTTTTTGTCAGGCGCAGTGCAATTGCATGTGTGCTTGTTTCGGCTCACAGGGAGTGGGCTGTTAGAGCATGGCCCGGGCTTGCTAGTGTGGCTAAAGGCAGCTTGCGATGCTTGTCGTGTCCGTGCGTCTCAGGAAGATGGTTTGGGTCCATGCAGCGTTGCTCAGTGCTGACATCCCTGACCGGACACTACTTGCCATTTTCGTCTTCTGCTGCTTTCTGCAGGTGCCGCCAATGTCGAACGCAGGCAGGCTGCGGCTCCATAACCCACGACAGCAATCTTCGGCAGTGCAGGGGTCAGCTTCATCAGTTCAGCCGTTCCGCCAGGTAGCACCGCACCAAGACCAAGGGCGCAGGTGCCTCTAAATGATAACATACTTGTATGTGTGCTATACACCAAGTTCCGCATGGTGACGTACGCAGGCCCACTCGTCTTGGTTGCTCGCAGCCGGCCTGGTCGCAGTAGTCCTGAGGCCAGCATGTGCAAGCGTGGCCGAGGGCCGTGAGCAGCAGGTTTGCGTGGCGTGCTCGTTTTGAATCTCCGTGTGGGTGCAGCAGGTCATTCTCGGGAGTGCGCATGACAAACTTTGTGGGCCCGCTTCTGTCTCAGTCGATCGAGGTTTGGAGGTGCTGGAAGTCTGCAGACGCTTGTCTTTACAGGCCGAATCAACTGCCTCTCCGTGCACAAGCACAGAGCAGCGATGCTCTCCAGGTGCCAGTGCACACACGATCCGCGTCCCGGATCGCTTAACTCGGGGCTCGCACGAGGCGAGGAACGAGGGTTGGTACATGATGCCCCTAGGCGTGCCCAAGGCGCAGATTCAGCTTTTCTGTCGCGAAGACGGGAACTTGCATGCATTCTCCTGCACTCCTGGCCCGAGCTTGCAGCTTGCTCAAAATTAACTCCGGGACGGGCTGATTTGACATGCGCTGCCTGGTACTCATGCTGCCCCGGGTAGTTAGAGCGTTTTCGTTGATGCACGGAACCCTGACACGTTTAAGAGTTTAAGCCTACGAGAGCTCCCTGCTCGAGCGACCAGTAAGAGAGCTGCTAAGCCAGAAGCCAGACTGCTGACAATTGATGATCATTGCGGTCGCCGCGCTATCCTTGGCGATTCATGCACGAGGCACTGCTGGACAGGACTCAGACATCGAACGGCAGGCTAACATGACATGTGACATCAATCCACGCGTGCGCGGTCTTCTTCAGGATGCTTGCGAGTTCGGATTACTGGGGTCTCGCGCGAACCAGGAGGCCAGCATTTTTTCAAGCTCTCGGATGAGGCAAGACCAACGCTTGTAGAGGTCCTGGACCTCTGCGCTTCGGAGCTGCTGGAAGCCTTCGGCCTCGGAAGCGATCCGAGTGAAGAGATGGACTCGGAGCAGCAAACCCCCACCTGCTTTGGCCCCTGGGTCACAGTTTGAGGAGATCGAAGGAGCATCGCTCCTAAAGAGAGATGTGTCACCAGTTGTTCACCTGACCTTCGACCGCACGAGGTATCATGCGTGGCCTGGGCTCCCAATTTGGCTACGCCAACAACACCCGCCGGGTCTGTTGGGAGACTCCAAACATAAATTTGACTTCGGTGAGCTGCGAGGCTCCCAGAGCACACTGCGGCACGCGACATTGTGTCTGAAGTCGAAGCGCACTATTCATTGAGCACTCGATGCATCTGGACCCGACAGGTGTTGAACAGCATTGCTTGGGAACTCATGGTGCTCGCCTTGCGGCACCTGGCTCTCTGCAGTGGCTTGTTCGGGGATGTGACGGAAGGGACTCACGAGGCCGGCATGATCCGGCGTGCCGGCGTTGTAGAGGAAGGGAGTTTCTTGTTTGCTTGTTGTTCCTATTCGTCTCCTGAAGGCCATGGCGGATGAGGTTCTCCAGCTTGCGGAGGCCCTCCTCTCGAAGGAGCTGGAGCTGCAAGACGCTGCACCTACAGGTTTGCTGATGGGCTACTCCGCTGCATGACCTGTCCCGGCTGATTTAATCTGAGCTGGCAGTATCTGCAAACGCAAAGGGGGCGAGGGGCTTCTTGCAGTATGCACAAGCCATTGCACGCTGGTCCTGCAGCAGAGGTGACAAGCTGAGGCACCTCCGTGCGGACTTGGTACAGCCTCTTCAAACACAGGGCCACACACGTCAAGTCTGCTGCTCAGGGTTGGTGGATCCGACTGAGCTGCAAGCCCGCGACGGGTTGTAAGTGTACAGGAAACCGCACATGAACCAGTCGGATCTGATACTGAGGTCGTGTCCAGATTGCTGGCCTTCAGCCGCAAAGCTTTTGAACACTCCAACTGGATGGCATCTGGGACAGAGTGAATGGCGCAAGGAGACATGCAAGCAAAGCTAAGCATTTGGCCGAACCTATAGGCCACTCAGAGGTCATCTGCCAAGCTAGCAGGAAAAGTAGACCCACATGTCCAAGGCCTACGTGCCGCAGAGGTTTGGTATGACGTTTGGCAAGTGTTTGGGCAGTGCAAGGTCTGGCGGGACACTCACTTCCTCTGGCTTCAAGATTCTCTTCGCGAGGCCTGGACCAGCTTCGCAACAGAGTCTGGACGGATGCTTTCGCGGGAGCCGACGTCTTGTTGGGAGTCTTCTTGATTACGCCAGGGCCGCGTGGTCCACACCGCCTGGGGACCGTCTGAACGCTGGGAGGAACTGGGTGCCAACGACGCACATGCTGCGCACTCCCTCCTTGGAGGTATGTCAAGGCAAGGAACATCAAGGAACTCTCAGAGTCTGGATGTTGTTTGATGTTGTTTGCGGGTCTCGTCGAAAAAAGCAGAAAGCCTGGTGCTCCCCAAGCCACAGGGCGCCAGCGTATGGATTCGTGAACGAGGGCAGCCAGCGTCAGGCGGCCTTTGATGTCGCTCCAGCACAGCTTCCACCGACACAAGTACAATTTAAGTCTAAGTGGCTCGTTCTTGAAGGACATCCTGCAGAATCTGCTGAGCCCTGGCCAGCTTGAGAACAGAGAGACGCAGAAGTTTGATTGCTGGACCAGCAGAAACGATCGTTTGCTCAGAGGGGATTGCGTTGCGACCGCAAGGAACAAACTTCACCAAAGCCGTGGAGGTGAGCAGATCCATGTTGTCGAGATTGGTGTCTTCAAAGGAAGTTTGCCGAAGGCCTAGCAGCATGTATCGCACATCGGTGAACAACTCCGGCATCCGCTTTTCATGCCGAGACTGGCCGGTGCTGTCATGTTCCCAGGTCCAAGTTTCTGCTGGAGAAGCTTCCGTTTGTGACTCTGCTCGGCAACTTGCACCTCAATGATTCCGAGTGCTTGCAACGCTTTGCTTGCGGATGCTGCTTCGCAGGCATTGACCCGTACGTTGGGACGGATGGAACGTTTCCTGGAGACTTCTCAGAGACGATGGATCCAGACTTTGCTCTTTCACAGGCAACAGCGGGGGTTGGGCGAGTCATGAACCTGCAGAGCACTTCTGCCGATTGAAATCACATGCTGCTAGGCCGCTGCCATCTACGAGAACTTCAAAGATCGAGCCCAACTTCTGCCGGTCACATCCGATGTAGCAGCCAGGAGAGGGCCTGCCAGGATGGACGTGCCATGCATTCGCCTGCTTGCCGTAATTTCGGAAGACGAGCCCTCTGCAGGAGCATTCCTGACGGCAGCATAGATGCTGCTGCCCCAGTTGTCGGGCGCTGTGAGAGTTGTGTGATCCTCTATGCATCTGTGTTAGGCCATCTTTGTGGACGGCTGCCATCTCTATGAGTGCGTCGACTCGGACCTGCACATCTGGCTACCAAAGCTATCTGGTGCAGGTTCACAGATTCTGCAGCGGCTGCTGGCATGCTGTCAAGCTGCTGTTTTTCAGGAGCACTCGTTGCTGGACATGACTTTTCACCGCAGTGGCCAGGATGTCGCGGGTAGCTCATGCTGCGCATAGAGTCATAGAGTATAGCAGGGCCTGCGGAGAGCACGGATCCTCGGCTTGCTCGCAGGAGTTGTTCGTGCCGTGCATGAACACCGACGGGACGGACATCGGGTGTTTCTCGGAATGGACTGGACGTTCTGGTGGCAGCCCAACTGCAAAGTGCAGCGAAAGATCTTAGAATCGCGCTCCTGGCGCGAGTCGTTCATGGCTCTTCCTGACACTTTCCGTTGGGTTCTGTCATCTAAGGTACCTCAGCTGAGAGCGATACTCAAGCATCGCTGGGCGGCGGAAATGACAGGATGCACCTGCACCGGCTGCAGCAATTAATGTCTTGGTATGCTCGAGCGACTGCGATTTCCAGCGGTGCCGGGAGCTGTGTGCAGGTGGCCTACAGGGTCCCGGGAGCACCGAATGCGGAATGGGCTCTGCGCCAAGAGCCTTTTTTTGCGATCGAAGCGGGCCTGGCGCCTGGGTCCGAGGTTGACATCTACAACCGACTCTATCGAGAAAGCCTTCCTGGCATCTTGCACACCTCTCGCAACTCATGGCAACTCCGAGCTATGCCAAATTGCGAGAAGCGTCTTGAGTCAGACATGCATGCGGCCATGTGCAGTATTGGCTTTCCCTTTCCCTGCCAGGAATTATTTTCATTGGCAAGGAAATCGATGACAAGTTGGCAAATGAGGTCATTGGAGTTTTGTGCCTCGAGCCGCACATTAGCTCTTGCTGGCGATGTTCCTACGAGCGGGTGATGGCGCGCCAGACATCTCAGGCTGTATTTGGATTCCGAGGATGCAGAATCTTTCCAACGGTTTGAGCCATGGTTTGCTAGTTCAAGTACGTCTGCCCTGGAGCAGGACAACAACAAGCCCATATACTTGTACATCAATAGCGCCGGCGGATCTGTGATTGCTGGCCTGTCCATCTACGACACTATGCAGTGCAGCACTGAGCCATCCCAGCGGGGCTGCCAGAGAGGATCGAGATGCTTCAGAAACCTTGCAGAGACTCTTTGCGTCTGGACAGTCTCGATTGAATCAGGCATATCAAGTCCCCTGTGATTACAATCAATGTTGGCAAGAGCCTTAACTTTCACCTGCAGATACAGGCACAGTGCCATGGAACGCGTGGGCACTTGCGGTTCCGTGCTCGCCAGCCTGCTTCTTCCGACCGGATCATCCCAGGCCTTGCAGCATCCATGGCCTCTTTCCTGCTCGCAGCGGGCGAGAAGGGCAAACGTGACTTGGCTACGTTTTAGGCAAAACCCGCGGAAGGAAGCCTGCAGGCTTCTGCACGCGCCATGGGACTTTTCAACTTTCTTGATTGACAGAGCTGGCACGGAAGAGAGAGGAGAACAAGGACGAAGACGAAGATCCAAGAGTGTCCAAGGTATTGCGCTGCCTCACAGTCGGGCGGGGAGCTTGATCGTTCTTCCACCCGCCGCGAAGAGTACTTAACCATGATAGTGGAGGCAGTAGCAGCAGGAGCAGGAGTAGTAGCAGAAGCAGTTTCAGTAGTCAGTAGTCGTCCTCATCGTGGCCCAGCAGCGGCACGGAGTGATATTGACGACTGCTGTTGTCCATTTGCGGAACTGGTTGCCCAGATCATGATCCACCAAGCGATGGGTGGAGCACAAGGCCAAGCAGAGGACATCAAGGCGCACAAGCACACCTCAGTCGTAGGAGTAATCGGAGCTTTGCGCTGTCAGACTGATTGGTACTGTTTGAAGCTCTGGCACCAAGCTTGCAGTTTGCAGAAAGACCGCGCATGCTTCGCAAGCCAATGGTGAAAACTCACAGAATTGGGTTTGATCGCACCGATAAATGTGCCAGAAGCCCGAGTAGATCCGTATGTTTCGGGTTTCGACTTGCGGCGCGGCTCCAGGTCGAAGCACAGCAGATTCTGCAAATTCACGAGAACATCGTGAGGAGAGGTCTCAGTGATGCTCGTCATGTCTGCTTTCAGACAACGCACATATTCTCTGCTCGTCCAACTAGTTGCCGATAGATATCTCTCGCTTTACGTCTCCGGCTTTGTGTGCAAGTAGTGTCTCGGTGTGTCTGCCAGGATGTATTCCCGTGTGCCCGGGTCCTAGTTTCCACAACAGCAAGTGCTTGGGAGAGGCTCAGTACCTCTCTGTTTCGAGCCGGGGGCAGCCATTGAGAGACCAAGGACGGGCAAAGACCAGGATACAATCAGAGCAGACCTCATGCGGGACAACTTCATGTCGGCAGAACAGGTCAGGCGATTGACTTCGGGCTTCGACGGTTGTATGCTTCTTCTGCATGGAGTAGCCGGCATCGAAAGGCAAAGGACTACGGCCTCATTGATCAGGCAGCAAGTTAGTGCGAGCGTGCCTTCTCCAACAAAGACGTTCTGGTGGGCAGCTGAGGTGATCCAGCTTTCGGATGCCTCCGACCTGAAGGTGTGCAGCTTCAGAAAAGCTAACAGATTAGATCACAAGAGAGGCTCGGTAGTCAAACTGCATTGACAAAGGCTGTAGCGGAGAAAGTCTCCGAAGCCGGGGAAGCCCCGAAGGAGTGCTCTGACTGTGAGGGCTTGGAGGTGTATTGACGAAAAAGTTCCGGTGCCAGGAATCTGCGGCTCCGCCATCCCCACCGCCCGAGGTCCCAGACAAGCCGGAGGATGGGAATGAGGACCGCTTGCGTCTCCAACACTCAGCGAGCGAGTCGGGGTTTTAAAATGTGCGCCACCCCGTTATGGCCTTACAAGCTTGAGGACGAGGTGAAGACCCTCATGTGAGGGATGGCAGCTCCGTTTTTCGCATTGTGAGGTGGAGGCGGCCATGCTGGATGCATGCCCTGCTGTTTCACAGGCCGGTCGTATGTCAGGTTGCCTAGTGGATGCCCGTCAGCTGAGGCACATTCAGCATGGAAAAGTGCTGTAAGTACGATGTCAGGAACAAACCGAACAAAAACAACTGCGTTTGTCTACGACTGCATGTGCAGCAGCTGAGGGACAGATGCAGAGAAGTCTTGGACAAAATGCGTGCCGGTTGCAGCGAATTCCTTCTGATAGGATGCTCAGGCACCCTTGTTGCTCGCAAGAGAAAACTGTCACGGAGCTCATTGAAGGTCGTAGCAGGCTTCGGAGGAGACCCAAATAGAGTGCACATCGAAGACCTAACAGCTGAACCACGTTAAATCACCTTCGTTAGACCTGGCTGGGCAACTCTGCGTTTGCATTTCGGTTCGGACCGGCTGCTTTGATACCTCAAGCTGTGCCAAAGAGTGGGCGCACTCAAGGTGCAGCTTTGTGCAGCAAGAGGCTTACGACTTGCGACTCTTCTATAGATGACACGGCGAGGGTCCGGGAATTCACTTAGACTGGAAGAGGTGCATGTGGATAGTGGTGTACAGTGTACGCGTTAGCAAGTGTCTCTCACAGCGCTAAGGTGCTAAGTCCGTGTCTTCCTCGGACTCGTCCGAGTTTCGTATCATGGCCCGCGACAGCATCTCGGCCCGCGGATCAGCACCTCTGTTACATAATTGTTTGCCATACTGGTTCCCACGCGCGATGTTTGCCTGAGGCCTTCTCTCTAACTTACTAGTGGTTGAAAGCATCCAGAGCAACAGTGCCAGACAGGAAAACGTCCAACGTTCACAAAGAACTCGAATCCGCAATGGTAATCAAGACACGAAGAGCTGCAGACAAGCCACCGGACCACCAAGGCCCAGCCATGGCTTCCATAACCTCCTAGCCTAGTGCGGCAGTGCTTATTTCGCGATCCACCACCAACAGCGGCAAAGTCCTCGTAGCACGAAAGCATGCTGACTTGTGCACCGGTCGCTTCGAAAAGGCAGACCCAGGACCCATGCCATGCCATACCATCGGCATGCCATCCAATCCTATCATGCCATCCCATGCGCAACAAGGTATGTTTCGCATCCTGGTCTTCGCGGTATGTGTGGGATTCAGCTCACCGAAAGTGCGGTGACAACCTGGCGCTAATGTTGTGAGACTACTAGGCGAAATAGCCTCGGCAATGACTCCACGAGGTCTCCGACTTTATCACGCAAGACTACTCCTCTTCTGGGCTGTAGATAGCAGCAAAAGGACGCAGGAGACTGTGGCTTGTTCTAGCTGCGCTTCAGTACCAATGCAGTGCTGCTTTGCTGCCTTGGGTGCAGGACATGGTGAAGCAAAATGTCCGTCACGTGGCTCGACCAGCACTGATGAATGCTGAGTTCGGTGGCTCTGCACAGTGGTCGGATTCACAACAAGGTCAAAATCACTCGTGATCCACAAACGAATCTTACCATGGATGTTTACTTTATAAGTGTAAACTTCAGCAACCTCTCTGCACGGAGGTAGAAGATGCTGGAATACCACACGACGTGCTGACCTCACGAACTCTATAGCGAAGTGCGAAGCATGTGCAGACCGTTTCATTTCGAGCTCAAGTCGAAGCCAGACAGCGGCAGGGTCTTTGATGGGTGGACAACAGTATTGCTGTTGGCTCGAACCATCATGACCTGGTCTTGACTGCCAACTCTTCATAAGACGTTGGAGTTTAAGAACTTGTCAAAGCCATTTCCTGTCTAGGTGATCCTTGCACACTACCGTGGTTCTCAGAACGACTGGGATCACACCTGGTGCGCCCACCAGACTTCAGCAGCGTGCCGCCAGCAAAATGCACTTTTTGCAGGTACCAGGAGCATGTTTCCGAATCTTTGGTTGCCAAAGGCTACAAGTTCCGTCTCATGCAGATGCTTACCTGAAGACCCGCGCAAGTGATGCTTGCAGCGCCTCTTGACTTTGACTGCAGCTCTGCATCATCCAAGGAAAGCCTACAAGGCCGTCCGGCTCTGGGAGAGGGGCCGGAGCTGTACTTAACTAAACTGGATCTTGTAAATCATGGGAAAGCCCCCACCCCCCCCGGGGTCCGAACGCAGTGACCCAAGGAGGACCATGTTCCAGTCCAACTCACGCGCCGCTGTATGACCATATTGAAATTGGGGCAGGGGGGGTGGCTCGGTGTGTGAGATGGCACGAGTTCAACTGGGGCATGATGTGGGCGGTAGCTGCAAGGAGGCTGCACACTCTGTAGCGGCGAACTTCCACTTTTTGGACGAGTTCTTGCCAGGACGGGCTTTGGGAGAAGCGCTACGAGTTCATATGGGCCCTGGACAGTGATATTGACCTTTCCAAGGCTGGCCGACGTGCGTCAAATTGCAGCAAGATTCTACTGTGATAAGTGCAAGGTTTAACCGGAGCCTTTTGCATGCAGCAGTACTTGGCGGAACGACAAGAAAGAAATTGCCGAATTGCGCGTAGTTGGGGCCTGCTAGTATGGCGATCATTCGTGATCGGCCATCTACCGTCATCTACAACGCACCAGTTTTTACAGGCCATTACATCTGCGCACGTCTGAGCCGGTGCGCTTGCGCCATATACTCTCGCAGCTACTAAGTCGTTGGGTGTTGCTTCTGTGGGCGGCAGTACTTAACGGAAGCACTTTCTGTCGGTCGTTGCGTTTGCGCAGTGTCCACTTGGATTTCAAATAATATGCTGAGATGCAGCATAAGCATGCAGGAGCAGAAAAAGGGCCGACAACAGAATCGCTGAAACCAAACTGGAGGCTCCCCCATAATTCTTTTGCCACACCATAGACGTGGTTCCAGCCTTCAGTGGCCTTCAAATCCGGCTTGGACGTATCGTCCCAGACCAATCAAACACGCTTTTTAACTCTGGGACTGGGTGACCGGCAAAATGCCCATGGTGATACTTGCATGTAGATGGGGTTCGGGGCTATTGTTTTCGCGTGTAGGTTGGGTTTGGCGATGCGGTTGTTGCCTTTGTTTGCTTGGAGTGTCTGTTCGTTGGTGCGTGTAGGAAGGGTCCGGAGGATGCAGCTACTGGTTGCTACTCGTACTGGTGTTCGCTTAAGTTGATGGGGTCTGGGGGATGCTGCTTCTGACTTTCGCTTGCATTGAGCGTATATTGGGCGATGCGTGATGTGCCTGTGGATTGGGAAGCGCTGTTGCGAAAATAACTGAATAAATATTGTGTGTTAAACGGGGTTTTACCTTTCCCCCACACGGCCAGTTATGACGTCAGCGTGTGGCAGTAGCTGTACTGGTAGCACTACCATGCATGGAAGGCGGACCTCCCCCATTTCTTGGAGATGGCCCGGCTCAGCCGCTCTCCCATCGTCGGTCCGACATTCGCCGACTCCTTAACCCTGACAATCTCCGCCCCATTTCGCCCATCAGTTGTGACAGAGTGGAGCTTCTGACTCTGAGTTGAGGTACAAGCCAATGGCAAGCCTTTGGTGCCTTTGCTGGTCCAGGCTGGCGCAGCACTTGGCACCCCGAAAGATTTGCTCGAACGGCCGGAACCGCTCCCGAGGGTGCAGGAGCAGGGTTGGCAAAAACTGCAAGTCATGCGATCATTACCTTTTTCCAGGAGCACAGCGCTGTGGTTCGCCGGGAAGGTCGCAGCTTCAGCGGATTTCGGGTTACCAGCAGTTGCGACCGAGGTTAGACATAGTCCAATCGAAACGTGCATGCTTCGTGCAGGCCATGCTCCTTCGAGAGGCAGCCGCCGACATGCCCAGCAGATCAGCGGCCCACACCTCAGTGTACAGGCTAGGCGCGCGTTGACCGTTGGCCTCGAACCTCCACCAAGGTCCGAACGTCATCCAAAGTCCTGACCTAGGAGAGCTTCAAGCAATCATAAGCAATCCGTACAACACGTGCTTTGGGGTCAGCCTTCGACCTAATTAAGGTCCTAGTTCGACTGGAGGTGTGCCTTTGCTTCGGTGATGTTTTCCACTCCAGGTTACCAGACTCGTACCTCGCTTTGTTGCCACACCCTTCGGCTTCCGTGATGTCATGCTGCAATCAGTGCATGTATCTACGTACACATGGTGCTGATATACAGGTGTGCATGTGTATGCGAACAGCCGCCATCGATCAGGCGAGAAAGCTCGCAACGTTCGCCAAATGTGCAGGATGTGACTTCCGGCACACGGACTTCGTGGAGCTCACTGCACCGCTCCTCAAATCGGAAGTGTCCCCAAGCTGCACCGCGTCCAGCTGTCTGGAACTGAACGTTTCGCGTTCTCGGGAGGCTGGCGCCACTCAATTGTCGCAGCTCGGAGTCTTTGTGGCTGTGCATCCCCTGGGCACGCAAGGCTACAGCTTGTTCTTCGGGATTGCCGCTCATGCATCCAAGACAAATCGGACTGGGGATTGGATATGATGTCTGGCCCTTGGACAGGAGCTCTCTGGCTCTGCCCCCTCTAGAACACACAAGCTCAGGTGGTGCAAATATGCGTCCAAGAGGCGGCCAGTTGCAAAGGAAAGCCTTGGCGACCAAGCGGATCGTGCCTGTAGTGAAGAACGGCGAAGTCGCCGCTACGGTGCGGCTTACAAAATCAACTGTATGGCGATCTATCCAGTTATACCCAGAATCAACATTCAAGGCACAGCTGCGCTTGCAGGTTGAAGAATCAGGCATGTGCCTTGATAGATTCAGCTCCAGTTGTCCACTTGGATGCTCAGCTGCAGCTTACAGACCAGTCAGAGAACTCTGCGGTGCGATTTGTATGCAAGTGGTTCTCTAAATGAGGGTCCCTGTTGGGGTCCTTTTTGTAAGGGTGCNNTCGGCTGTCCACGATGCTGCTCAGTTGCGCTGATTGCCAGCAGTCCCACTAGAAGAAAAGCGATGGTGAGAATGGAGGGGAGGGGAGGGGGTGGTGGGAGGATTGAAAAAAGGCGTGTCGAAACATTTGGGCGCAGGGAGGAGGATTAGGTGTCACACCCCCGAGACGCCGGCGGCCTGTCGATGTGCTGAGGTGGCAAAGACTATGTCTGACTCTGTGATCCAGAAACCCTAGTCAACCCCGAACTATCTCAGGACTGGGGTCTGGCGCCGATCAGTTCGTGGCTTACGGTTGCACACTCGCAGATATGTAAATGTATATGATAGAAATACATGAATGTGCTTGCTGCTATGTTGGTTCACTCACAAGTCGACTAAGTCGACGTCTTATTTCTCTTGTAAAAGTGCCAAAACATCAGCAGCAGTGCAAACCACATCAGCCGTCGTCTACTCTACCTTACCAGCCGCCATTGGGATGCTATGTTTGCTCGGATAATGATTGGCTCCGAATGATTGATGAGATCACACTAACGTTCGGCTATTTGTTCATCCTAATGCCTGATGAGACCACATTATCGTTCGGCTATTTTCAAGAGTTTTTAGAAGATTGAGGGGCTTTTCTGTGAAGTGGAATTGAAGGCACCGGGGTTTTCGTATTTCATGGAGCCATGCGCATGACCTCCTTATCACAGCCATTTTGTTGAATTAGAAAAATGCCCTCATGCGCAGGAAGTTGGCAGAATATACGGATTTGAAGCAGCTCCTGGAATCGTTAACAATCGTTATTACAATGGTTAGATACAATTTCTGACGTTCCATGTTACTAAAAACCAGCTCTGATGTGTTTTGTTTCTTATCAAAAAGCAAAAGGGTGGAGTTGTGCGGCCGAAAAAGAGAGGGGGAGGGGGAGGAGACAGATGTGTGGGGGGGGATCGTTCTCCTATTATCGGTGAGGTAG